ACAATCAATGTCCTATTCCCTTTCCTGCTCTACTACTTATAGTTTTACAATCTTGATTGTTACAGTTGTTACAAGGAAGTTGTTACAAGTGGGTGGTTAGTTGCGCTGACGTGGCCTCCTCTTGTAAAACTGCTTAACTGCCTTCTGTTGGTCTGTTCCAGCAGTCTTGACAGATATGGCCCTAAATGGAATGGACTGTGCCAATAAGGATATTGTAATTTGATACTAGTATGTTTTAAATGGAGTGAAAATAAAAGGGTTAATGAGTTAGAGCTTAATAGATGACATAGTCCTAAATGTAGTGGAGTTACAAGACAGGATTGCATTGCCAACCCCACATAGTTGGTGATGAGGCCTTGTTGATTTTTGTTATCATTCTGCAAATGGACTTCTGGCAACTGGTTTTGTAGTTGACTGCCTCAATGCCTAGGTGATGCATAGTCACCATTAGTTTGTACTTTTAGTGAGTGTCTGGCATAGTTGTCAAGGCGATGTCTAGGCGACAAGGCGCCCTTGGAGGCTTGCCTCGCCTATCGCCAAGCAGTTTTCTATAGCGTGTTATAAAAAACTTTTATATTCTTAATTTTTTTAGTTTATAATTATAAAATAGACATTTTTAAGCTAAAATATTCATTTTGTGTGTTTATATACTAATTTCTTTTTATTATTTTCTTTTTTCTTTGGAAAAAGGTAAAGTAATTTTATTCAATGAGAAAGCAAATTACAACAAGACTCAGGCCAACTAGATCTTCCTGGGCCCAAAACATATTACAAGAACATCCATGATTCAGTATAAAGAAGGAGAGAAACATTCTGACTTTTAAACTCCTCATTCACCGACACCCRGGAGCAAATCTTCCCCACCACTTTCTGCACAATCTCATCTGGACTTTTTGATTGATTACAGAAAATTCTATTGTTTCTTTCCATCCAAATGGACCAAAGAACAGCCTGCGGAATAGTATTCCAAACAAGCCTGCCTTTCTTGCTAAGACCCTCCAATCTCCAACTCATAAACAGCTCCTTCACAGACTTAGGCATAGCCCAACACACTCTAGTTTCTTGAAGAATTGTCCCCAGATTTAAGAGGAAATCGGACAGTGAATGCACAAATGATCTATAGATTCAGCACCCATGCCGCATAAAACACAGGAGGGATCAAGAATCTGAACACCCCTTCTCTCCAAGTTGACCCTAGTTAAACATTTATTCAAAACCATTGTCCAAACCAGGAAGTTAACCTTAGAGGGACAGATGGGGTTCCAAATCTGCCTATCCGGGAAGTTCTCCTGACCTGAGCTGCACATCTTAAGGAAAAGGGATTTAACTGTGAAKCTACCATCTGCATTCCACTTCCAAGTCCATTCATCTTCCATACTCATATCAATTCTCTGATTTTGAATCTGCCCCAACAGACCTACATACTCCTCCACTTCCCAGTCTAGCAAATTCCTCCTACATAGGGGAGTCCAAGTAAAGGAGCCCCCAGAGGTACTAATGTTATCAGCAACTGAAGAATCTTGATTCACTGCAATTTGGAACAGCCGGGGAAAAGCATCAGCCAAGGGGCATTCCTCACACCAGGAATCCTTCCAAAACTTAATTCTATCCCCTTTTCCTACTTTAAACTTGACCCCGTTCATGAAAAGAGTACTGACCTTAGAAATACCAGCCCAGAGAGAGCTACCCCCAAATGAAAGGGGATCAAGAGTTTTCCAATTTCCCCAATCCACACCATACTTGACAAAACCAGTCCCCAATCCCCTATCCCCTTTATTATTTTCTTATTTGTTAGGGTTTAATCAACACAAACATTGCTAAATGCTGTATTGAACCCTCAAAGACTTCAGAACCTGAACCAATAAGTAAGGAAGAACATAAAATGTTGTCCAATCAACACATTTTCTTCTTTTTCTTTACTAATTCTGTGTGTTTATATACTAATTTCTTCTTCTTCTTCTTTTCCTATAACAGAAATAGGGGTTCAGTCCCTATATTTTTTGAATTTTCTTTTCTTTCTTCTTTTTCTTCTCATGAATATGTTGGAATATGTTGATTTTCTATACTTTAACATGAAGTGTATACTTTTCTTATGAAAATTATGGATATTTATTAAGGAAATATGATTATGGAACCTAGGGAACTACCCTAGGATACATGTATTTACTTAAAAAAATCCATCGCCTAGGGGCCCGCCTAGGCAACTAGGCGACAAGGAGCCCCCCTTGTCGCCTAGCCTCGCCTTGGCACCTTGATAACTATGGTTCCTGGTGCCTTAGCTCTTAGTATTTCAATGCCTTAATGCTGTAGTACTTCACTGCATCCATACATCTTTCTGAAAATGGAGGAACTGGACTGCACAGGTGGTGCTTGGACTACTGCAATTCCTGTGAATTTAGCAATCATCTTAGGATATCCTTAAATTACTTGCAGTTCTGTCCAAATCCGTGCCACTTTCCTCATTTTGGGTTTTTTGATGGCCAATCTATTTATAAAACTAGGTAATCTAGCAAACTAAAAATGTGCTAAAGAAACACTTCTCTCCCACCTGCAATATTTAATTAGCAGGTAGGTTCATTACTTCGTACCCTTATGTCTTGTTTTTTCCACTTTCTTTTCCTTTTTCTTTCCTGAATAGCTTTCTATTCTAGGTATTTGATTTGGTGAATCATGAAGCATTTAACCCACCTCCATGAGTTAATGTCACTAAGAGAAATTTATCTTAAAAAAAAACTGAGAACAGGTCAAGAGCTTCTGTGTATCTATCACTTGTATCTAGTAGTCAACAATGCAGACAGCAAGAATTTGGGGTGAAGATAGCAGAAAAGAAGCATGACACCCTTTAAACGAAATTAGGGTTTCCTAACCCAGTCAGTTATGAAATTTATCTTCAATAGATTCTCCATGAAAATATGATTTTTAGAGAAAGGGATAGACTCCATTCTTCTTGTAAAACTCGGGCATCTGGTCAGCCTATAATATATGACTCTAGCTCATAAAGTCTGTGCAAACAAAGTTCTGAAAGAGCTGGAATTTCTAGTAATACATGTCAATTAGAAGTCAAAGATATGCTTATTTGCCTCTTCTAAACACCATTCCCCTAATTTACAAGAACAACACCAATATTTAATCACCATTGGGTGTTAGTGTGAAGCCCTTGATTGAGCTGATTAAAGGTAAGAATAGTTCATTGAGCTGATCAAAGGTGTCTCAATTAATAATATTATTAGAGTCTGGAACATTGTGGCTGGTCATTTAGGCCAACTTCAATCAAGGACTCTTAATTGGACTCCTTCCTCTCAAAAAGGTAAATTAAATATTGATGGATGTAGTTTGAGTAACCCGGGTGAATCTGGTATGCAGGGTGGTAAGGGATGACAGTGGAAGAATACTATTTTTCTGGGCCAATAGGGTTTAATAATTTATTGAAAGCTGAAATGAGTAACTGCAACTCAAGGCCTAGAAGTGGTGGCAGATCAGAACTGGAATAATGTGTTAGTAGAAGGGGACTACCAAGTTGTTTATCATGGTTATGTACAAATGAAGAGCCTTCTTGGTCGTTTTGATTCTCTGTTAGAGAAGCTAAAGCTTTGAATAGAAGCTTCAACTGCTAGTTCACGTGGATACCTAGGCCAGCCAAGTCTTGCAAAATCTGGTGTGACAAGGTAGGCTTTTCATTGGAGAATGCCAAGTCTGGGGGATGAATTGTAATATGGAGGGCAAGGGTGTGCTTGATATTGTTGGGCAGTTTAAGAGCAGTGCAGTGAATATCTGCTCCATGAACAATTACAACTGTACTTTGCCAGATCTCGTGATACTTACTGGCGCAGTAGGTATTATTTTTTTCTTATGATACTTGGTATTGAGTCTTTTGGACCTAAAGGGGAAAAAAGAGTCTTGTGAGTCTAAATTTCAAATAATGTGCTTAATGGTCCACAGGAAATAGAATATGAAATGACAAAATGAAAGTTTTCCAATAGGTATTAAGTGATAGCTTTGTTAATCTTGTTGGTTGTTTCCACGAAGGCCTTTTTTCATTGTTGGAATGGTGAGATATAACTACATGTGGAAATAGTTTCACAGCGCCATAAAAAATAGCAAGGGAAACAAAGCCTTAACAATAAATGCTTTTGAAATCCTAAATCTAGGCCTAATATCAAGCTGGTCATTCATTGTTGTCATATCATAGGTGCATGTGACATGGCAGACTTGACATCCACTTGGTGGCCTTGTACGCTCCATGCTTCACATAACCAAGGATTATGAAGGATCCCATATTTTGGTGGTTAAGATGGGTAAAATCTGCACCATGTCTCCTAATGTCAAGCCCAGAAACCAATGATCAGTGAGTGTTCTCATTTGACCTGCCTTTGGCACCCTAATGTTGCAGTACAAATAGTGCAAGGGTAGCTCAGATTAGAGGTCAATCTGAAAAGCTGAACACTCAAGCCTTAACCCAACTGAGCCTGAATTTCAACCCATGTTACCCAACTTGAGTTGCCCTCGGTGGGTCTTGGGGTAAATTTCATTCAGGAGTAATAGCAAATAAAATACATAAGTGCATAGTTGCCAAGGTGTCATCTAGGTACCCATCTAGAGAACTAACCAAAATTTAGTTTCTTATTTTATAAATTCCTTGTTGCCTAGATGTCACCTAGCCCCCAGTTAGATGACTATTTAACTAGGGCCCCACTGTTGCCTGCCCAGGCGACTAGCATTACTTGCAAATTGCATAGGCAGTTCAAGTTGAAGCCATCTAATCTGATTGAAAATAATATATAGGACCTGTCTAATCTTGGTTAAGTAGTTTTCCACTCCCCATAGGCCATACTCCACATTCTGACCCTACCAAAAATTAAGGAATTAAAGAGCTATCAACAACAGAAGAAAGACCTTCTCCAGGTTTAGTGAGCTTGTCTATCATTGAATTTAAGATCCAAATAATCCATCTAGTCTGAGTTGAAATGTTGGCTAAGATTTCTTTTATCTCATTTATGTAGTTTGCCAATCTCCACATTTTGACGCCACCAAATCATGTTAGCAGAGTGGTCACACTATAGCCAACAAATTGATGCACCACTGTTTCATAATCTTGGGCCTTGGCACCAGTAAGAACAAGTACCTCAGCTTTATTAGAGTCTGCATCTTGATGGGTTCAGTCAGATTCTATTTTTATTCATATGTGAATGTGAATGTCATGTAGTTCCTATTTCTTATGTGAAACATGTTTTACAAGTATGCATATGTCTATTATAATAATAGGTTTAAGAAGGACCTAACAATTTCAATGGTCAAGGAACGTTTAACCTAAAAGCCTAAGCTTTTAGGCAAGGTCCCTGAAGAGGTTTTAATTCTCTAACATGCCCCTTCAAACAAAAACCCATTGGGCTTGAAGCGTGGACAAGCACAGGCCCATCCATACCTTGTGCTGAAATTTAATGAATAACAATGGGGGCAATGATGATTGAACACTAGACCACTTGGTCAAACAGGCTCTTATACCATCTCAAGAAACCATTTGCATGAGAGGGCATGTTGGAGAATCAAACCTATTCAGGGACCTAATATAACAGCTTAAATTTTAGGTTGAGTGGTTCCTTGAGACCATTGACTGATATACAATCTATACAGCTTCATTTGATGGAAAAATATTAAGCCAGTAGTTAGCAAAATTAGAAAAAGAGAAGAGAAACCCTGAAAATCAGCCAAAGACGAGCCTTTCAATCTTGCCTGCCTATAACCTTCTCCATTATTGATCAAAAAAATAACCTTCTCCACCTGTTTCTTTTGTGCTCAAAGACCCTTAGGTTCAAAATATTCATGTTTTGATGGAATAAAATTTTCCTGAAAATTTTGTATCTGTTAAAAATATTTATTAACACTCTCCTCTCTTGTAACAGGTTGAAAGTCGGGTAGGTTACTGCTCCATGAGGAAGCTCTTTTGGTACGACTGAAGGCTAGCCAGGACTTCTATGCTTGTCTTTCGAGCTAGAACTGTGTGAGATTTCAGGTGTTCGCATTGATATCTCCAACGATGGTTCCAGAAACCAGGAGATTATTAGGACATTTGTCTTTGGAAGGGTTATATTCAACAATGGTGGATTTGGTCACCTTGTGCAATAGTGGTGGGAGCCATTGGTTTGTCAGATCTCTCACCCACATTTTTCTGTTTACTCGTTAGTGAAAAGCTTTTTTCCCGAATTTGTTATGGTCAACAGCATTGCTTGTAGACCATGTGAAATTTTTACTCTCAAAAAGAATTCCTTTTTTCACTCATTCTTCTTTCCCCCACCAATCTGTCTGTTTTGTTTGTCGATCAGTTTATAGCAGGCACCTATTCTTTTCATGTCCATAAGTTGTGGTTATGCTATTGTCATGTTCCGAAAGCAGGATATCTGGCCATCTCATAACAAACTTATCAGTATCAGGAGGTGGATTATCACCAGAGTAAAAGCAGACAAGGACGAATGAAATGGAAACAACTTTAGAACAGCACTTGGTCACCTCAATTTTATAACGACCGTAGCTTTTCTTAGTGATGGAAGGACTGATGGGGGCTAAAGGCCTCTCTTCTTTTTAGGTCAACCTGTTCATTTATAGCCAAAAAAAATTTGACTAAAAATCCTTACTAATTGCTTTGGTCTTCAAAATTTCTTGCAGTGAACCACTTCTCCTTTGGAGTTTGGAGCTGGGCCCAACTCTTGAGTCGGACTCAGACTCACAAAACTTCTGAGGGAAGAAAGCAACTAGCCAAGTAAGGTTGGAAGCTCTATCCTTCTTTTCTTCCATGGTTCAAGAGACGTGTGCTTTTTAGAAGTCCATAAAAAAGAAAAGCAATGCGTGAAGTTTTGAATGGTGTATAATACCGAATACCAAAAAAAAGTTGGGAGAATGTTCAGTCCAACCCCAAAATTCTTAGGTGTAGATGTAAGTTCGGAATTGATGTTAATATATGGGCGAGTATTGGTGTTTAAGGTGGAAGTGTTTCACATTTTGAATTATCATAGATTGCAATGAAATTCAAAATTGTGAGGTAGAGTGCAGTGTACTTATCCGAAAAAAGTTTTTAACAAGGAAGCTGAAAGTTGAAACCAAATCACTTTTCCCGTTCAAGTGGGTTGGAGGCCCACTGTCAAATAAGTTCCTGCGTGTTTGATTAGTAGACGTGGGCCCGAAATTATAAGCGCTTGGACCATGGCCCAGAGTTCCAATTGCTAGACTTGATACAATGATACCAGTAGTTGGTTCTACGATTTTGTTCCAATTAATAATCGGGCTTGTCCTTCAATTAAGATATAAAGCGAATTATTTTATTAAATATATATAATATTCTTTAATTTTGCTTATCATATTTTATGTTTGGAATAATAATTTGATAGATAATATATATATATATATATATGATATTATTAGTTAAAAATATTTAGTTTATTAACATATAAATAATTTAATATTTTATCATCATTTTTATTAAGATCATATTATCAAAATTTATGTTTTAAATTACTATTTAAATAAATAAATATATTTTCAGAATAATCGGATCTATGAGGTAGGACTTAATAGGACCCAACTATTAATCGGGATGGTTTTGGGGCCATTATTTTAGTTCGATTAATCAGTTCGCAATCTATTCTACCTAGACTCGACGAGACCTTTTCATGGGCTGGGTAGCCTGACGGGCCGGCCCAGCCCAGCCCAATGTAAGTCGGGTTTGGACAAGATTTCAGGCCTGTGGGCTCAGGCTTAAAATATCGGGTCTGACTTTTTTTGGGCCGGGTTCAGGCCTTTTTAAAAAAGTCTGGCCCGACCTAAGTCCAACTTGATAATGTATTATATTAATAAAAATATATTTTATATAATAAAAAACATATATATAATATTTTTATTTATTTTTCTTCTCTTTTTTCAAGTAATAATAAGACTTCTCATTATTTTTTTTTAGGTTTTGAAGTCTTTTAGTATAAATAACACAGCTTTTAATTGAATTAAAAAGGAAAAAAAATATTTTTTTTCCAAATTTCTAACCGGGCTCGGATTTGAGCCTGGGCTTCGGGCTTTATACGAGGGTTGTGCTTAGGCTCAAGACTTAGGCCCAATGGTTGGACCGGGCTCGGGCTCGGGCTCGGGCCTGAACATATTCTATTAATGTAAAGGCAAAGCCCGAGCTGTGAACAGGTCTAGACTCGACCCATTGACAGCGCTACCTTTAAGTTCTTACTTTGCCACTTGGATCAGGGTACGTGATATGCCATATATGTTTGTAGGGCCACAGTTGGACCCCACCAATCGACGTTGCTTTTAAAGCTTGGAAACTAGCTTGGCCGGTTGCCCCCCTCTAACCAATCAAGATTATGGAGACTGCAGAATTACACAATTGCGTTATTTTCATTCATCAATCATCAATATGGAAAAGATAATGAAGAAAAAGAAATGGATGGTGGCCAATCAAGTTGGTATTCATCAAAATTACTAAAACACTTCCAATATAGCTTGAATTAGAAAATGACAGTTTTTTTTGGTATTTAGTGCCACGCACGGTGCACCACTAGTAACCCCTTTTCCCTAAATCTGTGGTTGCGGGATTCAATTCCATGTAATACTAAAGCAAACCAGCTAAGCCACCCCTCGGTTGATAGAAAATGACAGTTTAGTAGATCATAATGTCATTCTTTGCTAAAACGTGGATAACCATTTTATTCAGTCATTGTGAGGGGATATTTTAAGAATAAATAACCATGAGCCCATGAACTTAAAACATTTCTCATTTGATTTAGGTGATCACATGACCATCTCCTAAGACAGGTATTAACAAGGATTGATTAACTAAATGGGTTGCAAATTATAGAAGGTGTTTTTAGTGAAACACCACCTATAGCATAGATTTGAAACCATTGAGTGGTATTTAAATAAATGACCCTTAAGAAAAATATTCATTTTATATGTAAAATTCCCTCATGATTCATAATTCCATGTAGGAATAATTTGCCATACATTGCGATAGATCCAACATCAGACCACCAAAATCAATTTAAGGTTCATGTGGTTTGAAGTTGGAATCAGAATTGGAATGGTCTATTCCCATAATCTATTTAGTTCAGACAATAATAGAAATGAAAAGGAACGAAAGACCAATAAGATTTCAATTTCGCCCATCAAATAGTTGGAATGAAATAGCCCATTCCATGGCGATTCCAAACCCCTATTCCGAAACCAAACAGTCCTTTTTTTTTTTTTGTAATGCTTGCACTTTTGGCGCGTCTGATGTCGCAGACTTGCAGCTTCCATGAATAATAGATATTAACAGTAAAATTGGGTATAAATGAATCATGACCTACCCAATAAAGGAAACAAATATGGTTTTTCATGCATCTGTAATCTCTTGACTCTTGTTTCTGTTTATTTAATAATTGAACTATTATTCAACAAAAAATATTTGTTATATTATAATTGAAAATTCATAGAAATTGACCTTATTAAATTATCACAATATTGTTAATCTTGTTAGAAAGGAAATAACATTTTCATGAACTCCAAAATTCCTATGTAATTGTTTATTGTTTGGAACACGAACTTCAATCACTAAACGAATCCCGCCAAAGTTCTGCAACTCTTATTAATCACTCTACGCCTACGGCGATCCCTTTCCTCCCCTACCAAGAAAACACATATAGTCGCACCACCGCAGTCCCAGTACTAGAAACGAGAGACTTTTCTTGTCTTCACATCACATTCTTTTTGTCTTCACGTACCTTTTGTTAGGTTTTGATTTTTGATTGGCAGTTCGTTATGATTTCTTGGGGTTGAAATCTGGAATCTAAGAAAAACAGAGGAAGCTGCGATGTGGGTATCCAAGACACATTCAATCTGAAGGTGGGCTTCATTTCAAGGGGGCGGAGGCATTGAGGTTGGAGAGGTTTCACAACTCGCGATATGGACTTGTTGAAGAATTTTCATAATGGATCTAAGATTCCCTTTCATTGCGCGTTGCATGATATGGGTTTTCTGAGAAAATTACAATTGCATGTGGGTTTTGGAGTTGCAGAGATTTCGTTGCTCTTGAAATGATATTTTTTTCCCTGACGGCTGGCGATGGGATTTGGCAATTGGTGATTTAGGTTGGCGAGAATGTTCAAGGTGGCGACTTGGGCTTTGTAATGCATTGAATTGATGGTGTTTGTATTAATTTTTCAAAGGATCTTGTTGATTCTTAGATACGCTTTATTATTCACTCTTTTTCCTGATCTCGGTTATAGGGAATTATTTGATTAGGGTTTAGAAGTAGCTGATAAGAAGCAAACCATCAAAGAAGTTTTGAGGAGAGGATTGGATTTTCAAAGCGGGATTTGGAACGGAAAAAGTTGGTTGATTCTGAGTGGGACTTTTCTGTTACATGTTATTTGTTTGGTTATCCTTTCTCTGAAAATGTCGAGCGGAACACCAGTTTCGAGTGGATTATTGAGGCGGCACAGTCAAGGGTATGCTTCCAGTGGTGATGACCTTGAGGATGATGCATGCTCAAGAACACCATCTTCAACTCCACTTCCAACGGCTCGGACGTGGGTTGAAGTTCTAGAGAATGTTCTTTGGATTGCCTCTGCGGCTTTTATTGTCTATTTTGGTGATCGGGAATCCAATCTAATATACCTGTTGTGGAGAGATGATAGGATCAAGAGGTATGAAATTTCTTAACAATCTCAGATATTTCTTTGCTTTCGATCTTATCATAAGTTTATGAAATGCGGTAATTGCTGGTGAGATTATGAACGAGTATTTCCTGGTTAGCTTTGTACTATTGGACCATTGGCTATCATAAGGAGAGCATGTTACCTGGCTGCTATTTATGCTCTGTTTATTTGACTACAGTCTGTCTATGGAAAATATTGATTCTGTCATTGAATATCAAGTTTGTGTGGCATTAGCATGCTATCTGTCCTTTTCTTCAGTGAAGCTTTAGTTAATTGATTATACTCTATTAGTTTAGTAACTTTGGGATGGTATTGGTTCCAAAGTTTATTTCTTTGGTGGATGGATGTTTAGTGCCCTGTTGAAGCTTGATTCTTTTTTATGTGATGAATGTTTTATTCCATCTTGCAACCAATTAATGAAATAGCCCTGGTTGGAGGTTGCTTTTTACCTTCCAATCTTCCGTAGAGTTGAAGAGGAGGTAGGTTGCTTTCTACCAAGAGACTGAAGCAGAATCAACATGATCATGAGAAACAACTCTGTTGCATTCATGTAGAGTTTGTATGGCCTAGCAAATTAGAGTTTTTAGTTGCACAGGAAATCAGATATCACATGATTGAACTATTAAACTTGAGAAATAAACACATCTAAATGAACCTACCAAGTAACTTATCAAGAAAAAAGGACCTATGAAGTAGTTACTAGTTACTTGATTAGCAGATAAATTAAACTGTTACACTTATTCCACAATGCTGAAGAGGTAGAAATAACTCTCCTGGTACATATAAAACTAACAAATGCAACTGAAATAGTGTCAAATTCAGCAATAATGGGGTCATTACCCAATGATGTCCCAAACTATCCAGTCTTGAGAGGGTGTTTTTTTGTTTTTTGTTTTTTCACAAAGTGGCAGCTCTCAGACTTGAACCCGTGCTCTCATGCTTGTCATTGCACTAAGCAATGGCTCATTGTCAAATTCAGCAATATCATGTTTAACTTCATCATATAATGTAAATGCCAAGTCCCATTGACTGTTCCAAACATTTGTCCCCATCTTATAAAGGACTTGTCTAAATATTCGAGACTTGATCATCACCTTGCACAGAGTTAATGTCCTATTAGCTTTGAATATAATGACAGAGTTCTATATGGTCTATTGGGACCTAATCACACATACACACAGAGTGGGCCACCTAATGAATGTTGTTCTTGAAATTGGTAATCTGAACTAAGGCTTAGAACTGAATAAATGATCCTAAAGGATAAAAAAAAATCAAATAGTTGTAAGTTAACTCTGCTGCTTCTCTTTTCCTTCTCTTGGGAAAGTTAGACATGGCATAGCAGACTTTTATCATTGTGTCCTTTTATATTGTAAATGTACATGATTCTTGCTGGTAAAAAATTAAAAAAAAAAAATCATCTTTAGGATTCTATTGGTCCAGTTTGTCAGGATGGTTTTGATGGCTGTTGCACATGTTAAAACCATTTTGGAGGGTATTTCTCCCTCTACTGCATTTCTACCTTAGTGGAGGAAGGTGTCAACTTTCTTATCTGGTTAAGTTTGTGGGGTTTTGTATCCTAGACCTGGGTTTAAGCTCTCTCTTCACCTGTATTGATAACTAACCATTAAACCTATTGCAAACCAACAAAAGAAGAGAATGAAACTTTTTAATTTCTGGTTTTCTTCTTGCAGGATACCCTTGTACCTTGGGTTGGCATGCATTTTTTTGAATTTTGGGGTTTTCGTTTATGCAAGTCTTTCAGCATGGGGCATCAAGAAATCTGAAGACAAATGGGAAGTGATGACTCCAGCAGCTGCTCCTTTTGTTGCTATACTTGGACTCTCCTCGTTTTGCTTGTAAGAGAAAGCATTTTTATGTTTCTATTTGTATTCTTTCTTGCAACACAATTATGTTGTGGAGTAAAATGCTTCTCCCAGCCCCCCACCCCTCTCAAAATGAAAGAAAGAAGTAAATACATTAGTTTTTTTCTCTTTTCTTTCTTCCCAGGTTTTTTATTATTATTTCTGAACTCCTTTTTTTTGCAGGTTGTCTTTTGCTTTATGGCCAATTTGGAGTTTCTTGACCCTCCCTCTTTTGGTATGTCCCACCTGCTTTTGCTTGATTATACTTGATGCATGTACACTATTCAATGTTTCTGGAATCCAACTATATTGCTGCTTGTTGCAGTTCACCTTGTATATGGCTTGTGTAGTCATATCGCCCTATTTGACAATTGGAGGATTCAAGCAACAAACCTGTGTGCTTCGTACAGATTAAGTCTTCTGCTTGCAATTCAGATCCTGTGGTGGTATCCACTTATGTAGAGAGATTGTCTCTGCAATTCAGACCCATGATTAAAAGAGTCGTTCTCTATATTGGTGCTTGCATTGCCATGATTACCAGAGCTGTACTGGTTTGTTTAAATCCAGACTTTTCACCCAAAATAACTGCTAACAACCTGCTGCTGATTAGACTTTTGAAGGTACATCTTTGGGTTTCTGTAAGTTCTATACCCAAATTTCAAGAGCACCAAAGTGATACAATTTTTTATGGGGAATGGAATGGTGATTTAGTCATGCATACATGTGGAGGTTTTTGGACGACCAGTTTTGCACACCATGCTCCATCCGTATCATCTGATGCAGTGTCTTCTCATGTCAAGAGTTGAATTTATCTTGAGGGTTCCTACAGTTATGAAAACGAGCTGCTTTTTCTTGTCTGTCTACTTAATCAAGAGTATCAATATGACTTACTTTTGCTCCCATGATAAAGTGGGAATGGACCATGATGTTGAGATTTTACCAACTTGAGTCCAATGCTCAGAAGATCCATCTCAGAGAAAACACTAAAAGGTCTATCAAAAAATTTTAGGACAAATCATTGATAGAGGAACTATCAGGAGCAATTATAAACCTAGGGAACTGAGTTATTAAATATGCGAAAGAACATGCTCGAGGCATAAATTTCAGTGGTGATGTGGTATTGATGTTAATCTTGGAAGTAACATACTACTTATCAAAATAAAGAGAAACATTTTTTTTTAAAATATGTCAAATCTTCAATAAAGAAATATCAGCTTTCAAGTTGTAACTATTGCATTATTCGATCATCTTTTAATCCATTGGCATTAAGCAATTTCATAGCAATATTGATGATACAGACATACAGTTTAGCAGAAAAAGTCATCTGCCACAGTGCTGCTTCCTAATGTGATACTTATTGCTTATTTCCTCTAGTTCTTAGCCTCCTGTTTGTAGCATGGCAGGTCCAAACTTTAAGAAACTGTTGACCAGAAATGCACGGTAGCAACTAAGGATATCAGTGTTCATATGAGCAAAGACTGTACTATAAACTCCAAAAGTGAAGCACAATTTTGACTAGATAGAATTATGTTTATTGCAAAGAGCTCTTGCCTGAACAAGGGCAGGTTCTTGTTGAAATGTGTGTGTGTGTGTGCACGCTTTTTGGTAAGCCTAAATTAGAAACTCAAAACATCACAAACAGTACTTTCTTACAAGAGGTAGAACTCATATAGAGTTGGTTTAATATATTTAATTAGATACATTGTATATTTTTTAATTACTAGTAGATGTGTATGTGCTTTTGCATGAGGTAATTATAGATAATGATGGTGATAAAAATCATAACAATAATAATAATGTGTTCAGTTTTTTTTTTTTTTACATTTTCTATATTTTTATGTGCATAAAAATGTTTTTTTTTTTTACATTTTCTATATTTCTATGTGCATAAAAATGCTTTTTATTTATCATACTTGTTTTTGTTTAATATAGATCAATATATAATTAGATGTGTGTCCAAATGCAAGGTTCAAAGTATCGGAAATGCAAGGTGTATCAGAAAGGTAATTTTAAGAGATGTATCGAGATACACTTTGGAAACGTATAGACACGGACGAAAAATCAAGATACGCATTGATACACTAGAAAATCCAAAAAAAATCCTTAAAAATATGAACAATAATAAAAATAAATTTTATGTGATTATAACTAATTTATTTAAACATTAAAATCATTCTTTAATATTAGTTAATTTTTATTATATAGATTTAGATAATATTTATTATGTGTATAAGTTAATATATACCTTAATTTTTAATAAATAAATATAACTTGTATTCATCTTATTATTATATAAATATTAATAATCAAATTTATAGCATTTGTTGGGAAACATCCACCAAGGCAAGAAAAATTATTTTAAGTATAAAAAAAACATGTTGTTTTAATAAGTAATTAAGGTTGGCATAATGGTTAATTAATTATTGTTGTAAGCAAATGACTTTGTCATTTTTAACAAGTTATTTGACTTAAATAACATTTAATAAAATATTAAATGCTATAATTAAAGGTAACTTAAATGAGCATTTAATTAAATTATATTAGCATTTAATGATGTCTCAAATTTTAAGGCTTAATTAAAATTGATATTAATGAGAGAGAGAGAGAAGAGATAAATTAAAGTTAAAAAGGAAAGGGAAATTAAATTAGGCTGATACATAATGCGTATCGGTCCATTTCAGGTTGTATCGGCCGATACATGCCCAAAACGGTTCGATACGAGGCTGATACGGATACGGATCCGTATTAGTCCGATGCAGACTAAAAAATACGAAACCATCTAATTATACATGTTCCATGTATCGAAACTCTTTCGAAACAATACGTACCGACCTGTATACGTTACAAAATTTAAAACCTTATCCAAATGTTTTCTACAAAATTTATGAATTTTTTATTTTTATTTTTTATATATTTTTATTAATAAATTATGATATCAAGGTCAAACATTTGACTAAAAAAGTTGAAGTGTTGGCCCACTACTTAACAAAAAAACAATTTTATTTTGGGTTGATATTACATTTTGTATTTCATTTCCATCATCAATAAAAGTAATTCATGTTTGTCACACTTATTTTTCTTTAATATGATTAATATAAAATATTAGACATGTGCCCATGTTTTCTTATACTTTTTGTATTGTTTTTATTTTAAAAATTTTATTATTTAACTATGACACCTTGTATTGATCCATTTGACTTAGATGGTTAGATGGATTACCCGCTCACTTGGATGGAAGAACAGTTTTGTTTTTTTGATAGATTTTAAAAACATGGGTTTTATATTAACAAATGTATTGAATATAGAATTATATATAATTAGGAGAATTTAGTAGTGAGAAATAAAATGCTCTAAATATAGTATTTAATGAGAGAGAATATGAGTTAATACTTTAAATGTAAGGTTTAATGAGACAAAGTATGAGTTTATACTTAAAATATAAAGTTTAATGAGAGGAAATTGAATGAAGTGAAAAGTAATAATAAATTACATTTTCTATTCCAAGGAGAAACTCTTCATATTTGCTTCTTCTTAGTTGACTAGATAAGCAAGAAAAGCTAATTTGTTGCCATCAATTACCATCAAAATCATTAATAGGGTAGCTGCAAGGTTTAAAATATACATCCAATACAAGCATACCATATCAGTTATCCAGGGGATTGACATCTAGCAGGGTGGAATGTGTTGCATTTGTATCGGTTGGTAGTAGTCAATATAGACCATATTCTTTTAAATTTGGGAAATTGTCCAAAACTCACCATGAATTTTCAGCATTTCTCTTAAACTCACCACAACTTTTCAAAATGTCTAAAACTCAACATGTCACTAAGTTGACGTTAAACAAACTAACGGGTGTTAATATATTACCATTTTAACCTTCATAGAAAAATATAAAATATATACAAAATAAATCAACGAGTGTTAATATATTACCATTTTAATATTTAGACATGAAAAAAAAGAAAAATTTCAAAAAATATTTTCAAATATAAAATACATAAAAACATAAAAATTACAAAAAATATAAAAAATTATAGAAATTGCAAACAAAATAAAAAATTATTTTCAAATTATAGAAACTATAGAAATTGAAAAACAAAATCAGAAAATAAAAATTATAGAAAAAACACCAAAAGTTATAGAAAAACACCGAAATTACAAATAAATAACAAAAAATACAGGAAATATTATAGATTGTAGAAAATAGAAAATGTAAAAAAAAAACAGAAATTATAAAAACATTGGAAATTATAACAAAATACTAAAAATGCAAAGAAAAACAAGAAAATTGAAAACTTAAAAGGACCATTTTTCCTCTAACTCGCCATTCAAGGGAAATTTGGTTATGAAAATTGTTATTTATGCTGACATGGGCACCTCTGTTAAGAAGCATTAACGGTGCACTAACGAAAGGTGAGTTTTGGAAAATAAAAACTTACTGATATGGTGAACTTTAGACATTTTGAAAAGTTGTGGTGAGTTTAAGGGAAATGTTGAAAACTCATGGTGAGTTTTAAACAATTTCCCTTTAAATTTTAAATTTTAGTTGTATTCATTAATTTTCATTTAATCCATTAAATCCCATTAGCTTCTCAAATCCCAACATTTAGCATGTGTTTGGAACCAATGCCATTTTCTTAAGAAACAGTGCCACATCAGTACTACGTCTGAAATCCATTTTTTCATATTACTCGTGATGTTTGGTTATGCATTTTTCCGAAAAATGCTTTTTCAGATCACATCTTTTCTGAAAAAAACGTGTGGTTTGAAAAAACATTTTCTCAGTATGCTGACAGGGTATTGAAAAAAGCTTATGTGGCAGCAGCAGCAATGGTCCCAAACAATAAAAAAAAAATAATTATGAAAAAATGACATCGTTTTCTCAAAAAACACCTCAAGGAACGGCATTGATTCGAAACATGGCGTTAATCTCTTTCCTTATCAAACACAAATTTGAAAATTTTAATGCCATTAGCAAGAATTATATACTTGTGTCTTTCATATTAAAGATGTTATTACTTATCACTAAGCCTTCTTACAGTGATATCTATAGTCAAAATAACATATACTTTAAAGATTAAACTTGTAGGCACTATTCAACTTTTTTTTTTTTTTATAGCAGGCTAGTGGCTGCCCTGAATGGTTAGTGTTTTGTTATATTTACAGGCCTGGTAAACTAGGTCATGAGCAGCTAGACCTGGCAATTGGGTTGGTTGGGTCGGGTTCGAGTTGGGACAAGGTACTTTGGGTTGATTTCGGGTTGGGTTGATAAATGCTATACCCTAATCTTAAATGTTCGGGTTAGGGTTGACCCATAGGTCAATTCGGGTCATCCCAAAAAATAATTGGAATTTAAAAATAAAAAAAATTTACATGAAAAATGTCAAAATTAAAAGAATTAACCTTGAAATTCCAAATATGAAATAAAAAATTTGAACATTTAACAATTTAAAGAGTAAACAATAAAAAGTAAAGACTAAATAGAAAAAATTAAAGAGTGGAAACTTCTAACAATGCATAAATAATCCCAATTAGACTTTGATAATCGCGTCAGTGGGTTGACCCATGACCCAACCCAGTTTTTCAGGTCGGGTCATTTTCACATTTGGGTAACTAAAATATGAGGCCCTTGCCCTGTTTTTTCGGGTCGGGTCGGGCTCGCGGGTTGGGTCAACTTTTTGCCGGGTCTATGAGCAGCCCAATTTAGAGTTCGACTAATATAGTTAGTACATACAATATCAAGAAACGTTAACAATTGGATAATTTGATCTTGGGAAAATTCCCGATTAGTATTTTGTGCTTTGGGCCTAGTGTCACTTTGGTCCCTGGCCTTTAAAACGTGACAATTCAGTACCTAAACTTTCAAAATGTGTCAATCCAGTACCTGTTGTTAATCAATCTATTAACCAGCCGTTAAGTGACATTTGAAAAGACATAGATGCCTTTTAAGTGTCATCTATTTTTTTTTATCAACCATCCACATGTTGATAAAAATGAACAGTCTCAAATCCTTGCCTCTTCTATTCAAAAAAGTTGGAGTTACATCTCAGTGGACATTCTAATAACCCCAACTTTCTTGAATAGAGGAGGCAAGGATTTGAAACTGTTCATTTTTTGTCAATATTTAGATGGTTGATAAAGAGAATTAGATGACACTCGAAAGGTATTTGTATCTTTTAAAATGGTACTTAACGGCTAGTTAACGGGCTGGTTAGTGGCAGGTACTAGATTGGCATGTTTTGAAAGTTTGGGTACTAAATTGTCATATTTTAAAGTTCAAGGACTAAAGTGACACTAGACCTAAAGTACAAGGTACTAATTTGGAATTTCCCCTTTGATCTTTGATAGGTTTAATAGTCCAGTCTTCTGCTGCATCGATCGTAGAAACAGGACACCCTGCTTTGTGAGTCCGAAAACAACAATAGATTTTAGTCTGAGTTGGAGAGCTTGTAGTCCATAGCGTTATATATGATTTTTTTTTTTTTTTTGCTTTTTGAAGCCATATATATGAATGTTCAACCAGAAAGTTGAAAATATAAAAAATAAAAATTTATATTGGTTTATGTATGTATGTGTGGAATCCGGACCAGCTCCTCACACTGCATGCCTCACAACAACCTCACAGCATGTCCTGGCTGTACATTGGAAACATGTTCTATACTTGTATTTATTATTCATGGGGAGATGTTCCCAATACAGGGTGAGATGTGGCTGAGGCGGGTATGAGGCGTGCTTTGTGAGGAGCAGATCCCAATTCATATGTATGTATACGTATACATAATTCACTTTTTCAACCATTCTTCTAACTTTGTAAAGCGAGTTCCAATGGTTTTCATACAAATTATTAAAATATGTGCTTATACATAATCCATGGTCATTCAAACATTTGATGTAGTGTTATTGATACATTTTAGGATTTACTAGTTTCCCAAACACATATATGCATATGCCAATCATTCCACAATATATCCATATGTATTCAAAGCATATCTTGGTAATGTCTTAAAATTGCCTTATAGATACTGATATTTTGAACATTTAGATAGCATAATTTCTCTTCCATGTTTAGGCATAGTGCATAGAATCATCCACATTGCCTCAAAACAGTATGAAATTGCCATTCTTCCATTCCCCTAAATTATATTCTAACCTGATAACTGTTTGGGTGTAAATGAAATTTTTCAGATTAGCCTATATTTGGTGGTAGAGAATCTTACTGGTCTATCAAGTTACACACTGCGGATATTTGACAACTGGATACTTCTATGGTGTTAGTTGGAATCATCAAAGATATGGTGGTATTGGGAGTACTGGGACACGAACACCCCATGTGTGTCCATATATTTAATATTCTTGGGGTTGCATCCTATGTTTCCATTTCACATAGACATTGCACTACTGGCTCACCATGATAGACATATGCAGCATGTAGGACCAGCTTATGATGCATGGCACATAGGGGTGAACATGCTGTAACAGGGCTGAGCATGAGCTTCTCAATATTCTTTCCCGACATAATCATGTCATGATGCATACATCGCATGTCATATGGAGAAATGTGCTCCTTTTGCATCCATGGCCATGTCATGGGATGCTTGCCATACCTATAATAAGATTCATGAATAGGATGGTTTATCAATTCCCACCTAGCCTCTTGTCCTGGAGATGTTGTCTCATCCACAGAGGAAGAAACAGATAAAGCACAAACGACATCTCAAATTAATAAACGACACCATTTGTATATGGCATTGGACATTGGATATCAACTTTTGGATTATGGCATTGACAGAATAAACAATGGTAAAACCATTCCTAGAAAACACAAAACTCTTGCATTGGGCAACTCAGGTGGCAGGTGGAGAAAAAAACCAGACAACTTTGAATGCGGTCATTGAAGAATTACCTATCTCTTTTTTCAATTTTTTGTGGGTTTTCAACAAACCAAATGGACTGCAAGCTCTGTAACTGTTGCATAATGGAGCTTTGGTGGTCAGTTTGATGTGAACGAACCCCATTTCCTGCAGAAACGACAGCCATGACTTGTGCCCAGTTTGAGAAAGACATATTCAACATCTCCCTTAGTAAATGCCCCAACACTAATATAATATGGCATCACTTCACTTGCATACAAATTTCACTAATATGAAAGAGAATGAGTGGTTTGAAAATTCCAGGCAAGAATCGGATAGGAATGACCTCTCCCTTTCTAGACCCCATCAGAGTATACCAACAGTAGAAATGGTGGCCAATAGGATTCTAATTCAGATCAAACGTCGGTCAATTACAGTTTATATTGGCTTAAGCCAGATGAAGAAAGGATGAAAGTGATATTCTGATGACTTCCAAGAAGATGATAAGATGAAATTGAAATGGCAATCTCCTGCAGGATGCCCACATGATCTGCATTTCCTTTCTTTTCCTTTTCTTTTTCTGATGACTACTCGTTTTTTCTCCTGCTTGGATCGAACAGGCCAACTGATTTACGCGGTCAAGAACATCAGAATTGATTGACAGGCTGATGGTGTGTTTGTACCAAGTGGTGACAAGCCAATGGTGGGTTTTGGATTTCACGGGGAAAACGAAATCACCTCTCTTTAGTTTTCAATAGAGAATTTGAATGAACCCACAATGTCCAAATTCTGATATTTTAAGAGAAAAAAGGAGAAGGATGATGTGCGAATGTGTTTTCCTTTTCAGACCATGAACTTGTGCTTTCACATGCAATTGGTATACCAGGTTGGTACCATTTTCAATCCACCTGATTGCTGGACGTCCCTTGAGGTTGCACCTTCATGCCGCGTTTGCTTTCTGGGTTTTTCATTGGAATCCAATTAGGGGAATTCGTCACATCAAGATTTTGAATCACTCTAATTGATTCATAATTGAACCCAGATTCATTTAATGGGGTGGCCCTGGAGAGCTCAACCCAGATTAAATCCAAAATGGGACATGGAACCTGATTATTGGATCAGACTGGTTTCATGACCTAAACTCTATTAATTGCAAAAAAAAAAAAAAATTGGATTGGTAGCTAGCTATTATCATTTACTAATGCAATTGAGCACCTCTGATGCCGCAAATTGCGTTACAGAAGTGAAGTGGTGTTTCTTACTTTTTGTAAGAACAGGAATGGTGTCCATGATTGTGATGGTGCAACACAAGTCCTCCACTTTGTATGACCCAAAAAGGGAGCCACTTGCAGGTAAACTCAGCTTGGTCTGATGATCATGATCTTGACCACCCAACTGAAAGGGTTTTCTGGGCTTGCTTTATTGCTTTTTCACCACCCACATGAGTTGACTAGTTAGATGGTAAGCTGGTCCAGTTGGACTGGTTTTTGGTATCCTGGAGAGATTGTAGGTGAGATCCATTTACTGGATGGTCTAGATGGATTGGAATTTACTCTCTCAACTTGTAGAAAGAGCCTAATATTAAATTATACTGGTGGTGCCAGGACAAACACAAATGGAGAATCTTGACATCTTGTGTGTTCTGGGGGCTTGTATCTGTAGTCTGTAGATGGGTCTGCTTGCCCCAATAAACCTGTCCCATGTTTCCAGACTCAGGACCCCCCATTGGATAATTCTTGGAGTGCCCCATCCCTCATTCTAGGCCCCAGTGCTCAATACATGAGACAGATGGCGAGTTATAGAGGCCACATGGCCCACCCACTTCTCTACCACCAGGTCCACCACACACACAACATCATCCTCTAGCCACGAGGAAAGTTAGTGGTGGGTATTGCTTGAGATGAGTCCAATTCAAGGTGGGAAATAGAGCTCTAGCGTGGAGGGGCTACCAAAACACCAGCTAGTCCACAGGGTCCTCTAGTTGATTAAGGTTCTTCCATAGGCTGAAGCATGAGAAATTTTCTGCTGAACAAACAAAAGTAAGGCAAAATATAACAAACCCCAAGTGCCCAAACACCCTTAAATTGGAACCAGTTTGTAAACTGGATGATTTGAAGGATTTCCCATTTCCTACTATCAAAGGAGAGCTGAACCAAGGGTGAATTGCTGCTAAGTGTAAGCTGCCTATAATTTCCGTTTATTATTAATGTTTGATATTTCAGAATGATTATTCTCTTATCCCTTTTCTCTTGAACAAATAATTGCACCATGATCCACTTGATTGAGAGAGAGAGAGAGTCCTTCCATCTCAGTCATTTCCAAATGTAGGATCTGCATCAAAAGGACATCCATATTCCACAATGACAATGGTCTGAGTTGTGGTGGGAGTGTGGAAGTGGGACTAGACTCTAGACTAGTGAATGATTAAAATACAGTTTGTTTCTCAAAAAGAGTGAATCATCAATTTGGATGACTAATAGGCCTTCTTATCCCATGCAAATGAATGCTAAATTATTAGTCTTCTATACATTGTAATGGCAGTCTAGGCACCACAGCAAGAACCTACTTTCCTGATGCGGCCAAAGAAGTCTCACCTAAAGAACAAATGATCACAACCATCCAATCTGGGCAAAAGAAAGTAGTGAGTTTGAGATGTGCATTTGTTATTAGAATCCAATGGCTTGGATTCCAACCCCCAAGCTCCTCAAGGGCACCATGTTAATCAGATGTGCTTTGTCATACACTCAGATCTCAATACCAGGGCCAGGGGGTGGGACCCAAGTTCTTGAATGACTAGAATACCATTATGTGGAATGGGCAAAGTATAAAAAAGTGGGGTCCATGACTTAGAAAAAAGGAAATTAAACCAAAAGCAAAGTATTTGGTGGAGTTGTGGGGAAGCTTAATGATATTTTTGTATCTTTGTCCATACTCTTTTTCTGTTTTTCTTACAATTTTTAATAAGTCTCAACCCCTCATCTTGACCTTTCTATTTCTCGTTTTATTATTTTCCACACATGTGGGTCGCTGCAGTTCTCTCTCTCTCTCAAGAAAACCCAACTCCAAAAGGCAACAACAACTATCATCCAATCAATTTGCCGTTTTGTTCCTCACTGCAGAAGAAGACGACTAGAAAAAGTGTCAGTTATATCTCTTCCCCTCCATCTCTCTCTCTCTCTCTCTTAATGGTTTAGGTTCTCTTTTGCCTCTTTGTGGGTTACCCATCGCTTCTTCTTAAACACGTCTAGCGTTTGTTAGGTTGCGCCGTTGGGGTGATGGGCCCCTTTCTTCACCGAGGATTAATGTAAGTGAGACCCCTCTCTCCTCTTTCAGTGCTTGCATCTTTTGCTTTAGTGTTGTGGGTTTCTGAGGAGGAAGGGAGCGTGGAGTTTGTGGTCTTTCTTGTTTCCTTCGTAAAAGACGCGGCAAAGGGTTCTTTTAGGAGTTTCGAGATAGCTGTTTGATTTTGGTTGTGGGTTTCGGAGTTGGAGCCTTGGAGAGATGTCCTTGTTCTGTTTGTGACTGACGGTATAGATTAGGGTTTGCAGTTTTCTCTGCGAGGAACAAGGAACGCGGAGTGTCATTTTGTCATGTTTTTTTGACTCTCGCTTTGGGAGATGGACATATGGTGAGTGAGACTCGGTTTCTGAACAACAAGGTTCATTTGGGCTTTATGGATTGTCCATTGAACCTTTCTGATAAGGTGGGCTGCAAAGGAGAGGGATCTTTCCCTACTTTCGGCGCCTGATCAGTGGACGAGCCTAGGAATTTCCCTGTTGCTGCTGTAAAAAGCTGGTTGAGGGATTCTATTAGCTTCTTCCTGTGATGGGTTTTTGATTTTGAAGGTGGGTTTTGGAGATGAAGAATTGAAGAGACAGTAACTGTTCAGTTTTTTCTATCATTGGTGACATGTTCTGATCGGTCTATTCTTTTCCATTGTTTGAAAGTAACTTATTTGATCTTGAAGTGGATTTTGAAGATAGGGAGATGTTAATTAGTTCGGATTGGTAAGCTTTTGAATGTGGAAAAATGGAGAGAGGAATTCAACCTCCGCTGGTAAGTTGATTACTTTCTCTACTTTGCTTTTTTTCTTTTTTTTTTGAATTCAGCGCTGGAAATGCCTTTGTATGTCATTTGTCTCAGAGCTCAGACCCTTCTTTTATTCATTTTCTGCATTTACTTGTTTGTTACATTTCTTTCATCTGCCTTTCACTTTTCCCCTTTTTCTTTTTTTTTTCAGAATTACAAACAAACTGATAAAAGATGAATCGATCAAAAGATTTTGATAAAAAAATAAAGTTGGTAGGAATAGGATGGTTAACCTGTTAGAAACACGGTTCCTAATCTGGTTGAGTTAATGATTGGTTTCGGAATTGAGAATTTTGAAAAAATAAAAATAAATTACATGTATTCATGTTTCCCGCCCTTGATAGCCACATCTCAACCCGGGAACAGTGGTTTGTTAACAGAAAACTCACAATTTACCCATCTGAAAGTTGATGCTTTCTGTTATTTCATACTAATTTGAGGCAATATCTCATAACTTTCCTGCATCAAAAATTACCTGAACTGAAATGATGTATCCGAGATATACTCCTAAATTGTTGGTGTCTAAATGGATGTTCTTTCTATTTTTGGTTGTTAGTACCAAGTTTGTATTTTTATTGAATTGCTATTCTAGAAAAATCAAGAGAATTAAAGAGGAGAAGTTCTACAGGTTGATACCACCGCATGTTTCTGTAGAGTAGATGCAGGCCTGAAAACTGTTGCTGGGGCAAAGAAATTTGTTTCAGGAACAAAGATCTGCATTCAGCCCGACATCAGACCATCTATTCACCCCACTAGGCAGAAGGCAGCTCGTGGTGAAAGGGTTCGGAACCAATCTCCTCTACTCCCTGGACTCCCTGATGATCTGGCTATTGCTTGCTTGATCAGGGTCCCACGGGTTGAGCACAGGAAGCTAAGGCTAGTCTGCAAGAGGTGGTACCGCCTCCTAGCAGGGAACTTCTTTTATTCCCTCCGGAAGAACCTTGGTATTGCAGAAGAATGGATTTACGTGATAAAGAGAGACCGGGATGGGAAGATCTCATGGCATGCCTTTGACCCCATATACCAGCTCTGGCAGCCCCTGCCTCCTGTTCCTGGAGAGTATGCTGAAGCCCTTGGGTTTGGATGTGCTGTTCTCAGTGGATGTCACCTTTACCTGTTTGGTGGAAAAGACCCAATCAAAGGATCAATGAGACGAGTCATCTTTTACAGCGCCAGGACAAATAAATGGCACCGAGCACCGGATATGCTACGACGGCGGCATTTTTTTGGTTCCTGCGTCATAAACAACTGCTTGTATGTTGCTGGGGGGGAGAGCGAGGGAGCCCATAGATTCCTGAGGTCAGCAGAGGTATATGATCCAAACAAGAACAGGTGGTCCTTCATTGCAGATATGAGTACTGCAATGGTGCCATTCATTGGAGTTGTCTATGAGGGAAGGTGGTTCCTGAAGGGCCTGGGGCCTCACCGCCAGGTTTTGAGCGAGGTCTACCACCCTGAGACTGATAGTTGGTACCCAGTCTATAATGGTATGGTTGCAGGCTGGCGAAACCCTAGTACTGCTCTCAATGGGCAGCTCTATGCCTTGGATTGCAAGGATGGTTGCAAGCTGAGGGTCTTTGATGAAGCCAGTGATTCTTGGAGCAAGCACATTGACAGTAAAATGCACCTGGGGAGTTCCCGAGCCTTGGAAGCAGCTGCACTTGTCCCTCTGAATGGGAAGCTGTGCATCATCCGTAACAACATGAGTATATCCATGGTGGACGTTTCAAAGGCTGATGATGCAAATGGGGCTGCTACAGAACATCTGTGGGAGACAATTGCAGGCAAGGGGCAGTTCAAGACCTTCGTGACAAACCTCTGGTCAAGCATCGCCGGCCGTAGCCGCCTGAAAAGCCATATTCTTCACTGTCAGGTTCTTCAAGCTTAGAACACCCGAGATATCAACACAGTCCAGACTTGATATCTCTTGATCCGATGAAACTGGGCACGGGAGATAAGAAAAGAAAATCAAGTAGGAGAATAAACCGATAGCAGTGCAATTGTTTGAAGCTATGATCATCTGTAGAAGCAAGGTGCTTTATGGATGATGCCTGTTTTTCGTTCTGAGTTTGTTATATTATACTACAATATTATACCCATAGCCTTACATGGTAGAAAATTGAAGAAATTATAGTCCCTTTTTTTCCCTCATCTCTTGTACAATCTACGAGAAATATCATGTTGATAACAAGGGTAGATCGTAGATGTGACCATCTGCAACCTTATTTTGCTCCATTAATGGATGGATCTTCACCCGTCATTGGCCGGCTAAACCAAGAGTCCCGGTGACTGAGTCAATGGGCTACTTGTCAGAGGTGGAAGGCTAATGCCTAATGAAGTGTTTTAAACCATCACCTCAATCCATGTAAACACACCCAAAGATCAAAGACCTGTTAAGCTGAATTGTCATCACCTATCCTAGATTAGGATCATCAGACCCACCATTCAACGTGTACTGCCTTGAAGATCAACTGGACCAAAGATCAGGTTAAATTCTTAACCAGAATGTGTCTTTGAAGCTAAAAAACAAATGATGCATCAATCAGGTGGTTCAAATGGATCTAATCATGCTGGTTTTTTGTGTAATCAATGAATCCAAATTTGATTTGAAGCAAAATAAAGCTGTTAATTATAGCTTATCGGTCCCAACACCATTTTTTCCTGTTTGCTCTAGCGTGAATGTCTAGAGCCAACTGTTTTTCTGTTTACAGAAGTTTGAAGCAACCAATGCATTATGATGTTTATAATCTACTAGGTTCTCCGATTTATAACCACTGGATTGGTAATCTCGTAGAGAAAATTAATTTTCCAATGTTAACAACCAAAATTTTGGTACCATCATATTTCTTATGGGAGAGAAAAACAGTAAGGGTCCGTTTGCTTTACAGTTGGAATCTGAATCAGAATTGGAATCAAAATCTGATGGAATCAGAATTGGAATGGTCTACCATCATAGTTTGTTTGGTTCATAGAGGAATCAGAATGGGAATTGGAATCTGCTGGAATGGGATTTAATTCCCAAGAGAGGGGGAGGGAATGGCCTATTCTCCCTGGGAGAATGCCATTCTACCAGGAATGAAAATGAGATTCCAATTCCAGTCAACCAAACAGTTGGAATTGGAATGGCCGATTCCAGACCCCTATTCCCACAAACCAAACAAGCCCTGAAAGCATTTTCTGGCATCATAATTGTATCTTCTCTGCTCAGTGCTCACAACACTAATGGATTCCGACGCCAACAATGCTTTTTCTCTTCCTGCGTGAGACGGTAGTTCATATGAACTCCATGCCACATTAACAGTGCTGGAAATGTGTCGTGGAGAGAGCCATAGTTTATACATTGATCAAATGTGACCGTGCTAGGAGCGCATGGTTTGGGTGCGAGCTAGGTCTCAATTTCTATAATGTACCTGCAAATGCTTCTTTTTAAGGATTGGTTTTCGGCTTGGATTAATATATGCAGGTTGCAAGAGCATATAAGGACTGAGCTTATGATGTTTGTTGTCATCATGTCGTGGAATATTAGGCTTTTCCACAAAAATGCTTTCTTTCTTCTTGGACTCTAGTCCCAATTCATTGTCTTTTAATTCATAGGGTGAGGGTCTGCTTGGTTCATAGTTGGAATCAGAATCAAAATAGTTTATTCCCATAATCTATTTGGTTCAGACATGAATCAGAATAAGAATTAAAATCAGCTGAAATAAGATTTTACTCCCAAGGGAAGGGGAGGGAATGACCATTCCCTCAAATGGGAGAATGTTATTCCACCAAGATTAAGAATGAGATTCTGATTCCATCCAATCAAACAGTTGGAATCGGAATGGGCCCCTCCAGTTCCGAATCCAGATCCCTTTTCCCGTGAACCAAACAGGCCCTGAGATCTCCTCAGAGTCTCAGACTCGATCTCCTTTTGGAAACCCCCCAGCAGTGATTTTATGATTTTTATCAAATTTAAAGGGGATGGGGCTTTTAAAACAGGCAAGGTAGATTTGTTGCTGTGAGCTTTGAAAATTGCAAGGCCTCTTCTGCTCTTCAGGCAGAAGCTCGTGCCATTTTTAAAGCCTTGAAGGTGGTCTCAGTTCTGGGTATTTCGCCTTTGGTTATTGAAATTGATAATTAAAATCTATTATTGATGGTTTGCTTAGCCAGGGAAAGGATTGCACGTGGAAATAATGTTTCTAGTCAAAGACGTGTTCACATCTGCCCCCCACAGAGCGTGCCCCAAAACCGCCCCACATACACATTTCAGGGTGCATTGAAAACATTTCCCGTACTTGTCATTGGGAGATGTTCCCAATACATGGTTGGAATGTGCTGTGAGACGTTTTTGGGGTGCATTCTGTGGGGGGCAGATGTGAATTCGTCAGAGACATCCTCTTGAGAACTCAAATTCAGTCTTCACAGACTATTCACACCATCCTCACAGCCACTTGTAGATGTGCATTGAAAATATCTCCCTATAAATAAAAACATACAAAATACGGGGGTCTTTCCAATACACGGTTGCAAGTGGCTGTGAACACGGTCTTGTGAGGACTGAAACTGTTCTCTCCTCTTGAAGCCTCTGTTGGTTAATTATTTCTTTTTTTCCATGTGAAGAGGGTAATAAAGCTGCTCATCATGCAGCTCAACGGAGTTTAATTAGTAATGGTTGTGTTTTTAACTCCTGCCCTCGGTGGTTGGGGGAAGTGTTGACTGGTGCCTTTAGAGTTTAGACCATACTGCTGCTCTTTTAGCTTCTGCTGTAGTTGGTTTTCTGTGTTTTTAGTGTAGTGTGTTTCCTTGTAGCTTGTTGGTTTGCTTGTTGAATGGAAGTAACTAAAAATTAAAAAAAAAAAAAAAAGAGCACCCTGTAAAAACGCGAGTATCAATACTTTGAAGTTGAACCATGTATATATCTTACAATAGACTTCTGTGGTTGACTTTTGAGATTAGAGATTTCTATGGCTGACTTTTCAGAAAGGCATTTCAAACTTTTGTGGAATTATGTGCATGTGAAGGCCCCATTGGCCATTCAAAGATTTATGACTTTATGAGGACCACTTGCACTTGCAGATAGTAAAACAAAAGAAAATGAATGATTTCCTTACAAGATGATATTCATTAGATTCCTAAATTTCAGTAGCTGAGGAATATATGGATTCTACTTCAGCGAGATATGACTCTATAGCACCAAACTCCCTTTCGAAAATAGCCAGTGAAAACTTGGTGCTCATTCTTTGAGAACATGACCAATGGCCCATTAATGGAGAAGGTCGCTTGGCACCACGACACCACCCCTCCAAATAAGAGGCACGAGATCAAACCTGTGTCCTCCGTAGTAATGGCCATGGCCCAATGATATATCATGCCAACTTGTTGAGTAATTGGTGAGTAAAGAAATAATGCATGATATCAGAAGAGCTTGGTCCATTTTACATGCAACATGTAACTGGATTATGCACTCAAGAAAATAAAGTTGATTACGTTGGAATTTGTCCATCATGGGAAGAATGGTCAAAAAGGGTCGTCAGAAAGGGAATAAACAAATAGAAGAGCACCCTGATTCGGCGGTTGTTTAATATCAATGGTATTTATAAAATAAATGTTTTGTATGATTGTTTTAAAAAACGAGACAATTTTTTTACACCCCAGCACCATTAGGCAACATTATATAAGCCAAACAGTAAAAAAACAGTCTTGAAAATGAAAAAACATCACATTTGGCGTTTTTTTTGATAAACAGCTCAACCAAATAACTTTTTTGGCTTTTTTTTTTTTGTTAAACACGTCTCTATGATACTGAGCTGGCACCGTTTCTCTGAAAAGTTACATCGATACGGAACACCATCTCAGTTGTTATAACTTACAAGTCATTTTGTATGATAGGGTTTTTTTTTTCCTTTCCTTTATTTGGTGAAGCCATGAAGGTAACTCTTTTTAACTGCATAAAACATGCACAAGTATGGAATTATGGGAAGTCAAAGGGGTCTTCGCCAATATATATGGTTTTGTTCTTAAAACAAAAACAACAGCCACGTTAGCAAAAGCAGTAACTTCAGCATCATCATCATTCAGAACTACAACAAAAAGAATCAGAAGCCCCATAACCTTCTCAGTTACAGATTACAGCTACAAAGATTTAGATACTTTACAAGAAAAGCTCAACAGAAGATCTAGATCACTAAATGAGCTCTCTTTACGAATACTACAACAGAAGTTTACATCAATAATGAAGAAACACAGCTTGTAAGATGGAAAATTCACTCAGTCTTGGATCCTGCAAGATAAGATCTTGCTAGTGAGAAGTATTTCTCCTTCTGCTTTTTGTATTCATTGTAGCGCAGGAAGAAGTAGCCAAGATAATCAAAATCAACGGGAGAAACCTTTGCCTGCAATCAATTTCAACAACAGAATAAGTTTGAATTGAAAATGGATGTCATATTCTACCTTCCTGGGCCTGTGTAGCAGCAGAGAGCAAGAACTGGACATTACCTGTATCAATGCCCATAGAGCCCAATACAAGTGTGAAGCTAACGCAAAAGAAGTGGTCTCAACATATAAAACTTCAAGATATTTGACTGATACCTGGTATGCAGAGAATGTTCAGTTGTAGATGCTTCTAACTAAACTTATGTCAACTGAACAAGGTAAATTCCTATACAAAATGGAATAATTAATTGAAAGCCATTGTTATGATGTGGGTTCATGTGTGGAAATGAATACACATATCAACTTTTAAGCTTGAAATTAGTAGTGAAAAAAAAAACTTTAAAGCTAGAAAGAAACAGATAAACAAGCAAGAGAACATAGAACAGCAACAGCAGCTTAAGCCCACAGACACAACTACAGCCACTACCACAACAACAAAATGCCTCTACACTATTAATTACTGCTTCAAAAATTGGATTAAATTGTCAGGAGACTGCAAGTAGCAGATTAAACGTAAAACAACAGATTACTCTTATATAACCACTTCAGCTAATGCGTCTAAGCAACAACAAACAGAAAACCATATATGCTTAGAATCTGCCAACGTTTTTCATCAAATAAAATGGTAATTATAGTCTGCAGTATAGGTGTAACTGCTTGGCATTATGGTAGAATCTTGGACTTGTTTATGGACTGCAGTGATCTTTACAACTTAGGCCATGAGTCATTTCCTCGGTACAACATTATCTCAGATGAAAAAAAGAAAGACCTCACACAAGAAATCCAGCTAGCAACACATAAGCATTATATAATTTAAAGACTACTTCCAATAGAGTTGCTATACAAGTTGCCTACCTCCTCAGGGTTTTCGGGTTGTAAATAATGCCGAAAGAAATGATACTGTTCATCCTTATCTGGATACCTACATTGGAACCACAGATCCAACACCTTGTTATATAATTTTTATAATAAGACCCATCTTATATAATTATACATCTAATCTAATTTTGAAAGGAAAATGAAGCCCAGTAGGGAGGGGGAGAAAAAATCATACAAGTTGTAGTCACAATCAAAGCCTGCATATTCATTGAAGTGGTTCCCAATATCATAGCCTCTATAGCTGTAAGATCCGTACTCAAAATCAATGAAGTAAAGTTTTTCTGGAAGCCCATTAACATTGAAGTCAGAAACAAAAGAAATATCTTTCTAACCAAAAAATACTAATGCAAGGAAACCTGATACATTGTGCAAACCACATCAGGTAATAGAGGAATCTAGGTACCATAATATATAGCTTACAAGGATATTTTTTAGTGTTGGATCACATCAAGGACATGATTATCATTAAATCCACCATTAGATAGTTCATACCTTGGACACCTGCTTCACTGACGCCTAATACTTGATTAAGATTAAGCATCTGATTCATTATCCTTCTTGTAGCTTCATTGTGGTCTTTTTGTCATACCTCTTTTTTTGAAATATTGAGGAACCAAATAGAACAGACAAATCATCTCATTCAACCATTGTCTGCAAAGGGAGAAAATCAGGCAGGACCCATTGACTAATAGGATCTCAACCCTGCGCACCATCTGTATGCATGACTTTGATAATATATCATTCTTACTTACAATGCATACCTTACTGTTGCTTATTTATAGTTACATATGATAATTAAGGGGAAAAAAGCATAAACTGATAATACAGTTTAACTTGCTTAGTAGCTCATTAAGATGCATGAAGACTGAAGTGTAACAATGATTATATACTTAAGGAGATAATTGGCTGTAGTGGCTGAGCTCAATGACTTGTTGCATTATCTTTTAGTGGATGTTATTGATCAATAAAAAATATCTTTTAGTGGATAAAATAGTAATATGATAAAATATTTAAGGATGTAGTAATCAATACAACATGCCATTCAGCCATTAAGGAGTTCATAACCTACTTAATGACTTCTAACTAAAAGATAAAGCAATAAGCAATTCAGTTCAGCCACTTCAGGTATAATCAAATGGACCCTTAGTTGAAGCTGTAGTAGAAAATTAGGGGAACTAACTTCTTGACCAAAACAACGCAAAATTGCAGCTGATGGAGAAAGGATAATTGCATTTACCTTCATCATCATTAAGCATCAAATTTCCAGACAGCAGGTCATTATGAGCAAATACCACAGGAGCATCTAAAACGTCTGTTAGACCCTGTTGAATAATCATGCATCATTTTTCCTTCAATAGGTATATAGCTCTTAGAACCAACAATCCATAATTAAATTAGCATTTGATAACCAACACAAACGGATGAGATCCTAGTTGAGATCAATGGTAAGAAACTGTTCAAAGAGACCATTTCTGTTATTTTGGTTTGATTGACATTGCAGAGAGAGGATGAAGAGGGGGAGAGAGAGAGAGAGAGAGAGAAAGGATGTTTCCATGTAACCATACAATGGGGTTGAATTACAGATATGCTTTTAGAATGTCACATGACCAATGCCTACGGTCACTAAAATATAAATATAATAGGACAAAATTAAAACCAGCCATGCTATAAAACTAGAATATTGAGCATCAATGGAAAACAAGTTGATGAAATAGATAAGTATGTTAAAATGGATCAAGGACAAGACTTAAAAAAGGCAAAACAGTAATCCATCGGAAAGTAATATCCATTATAGGTGATATGCAAAGAAAAACTGATTTTTAACACTGAAAATAGGAAAATAATGTGGAGGTGGAATCTCCCTTCAGAGTTACATTTGTTATTTAACCCATCTACTTTTGTGTCGACCAAAAAAGGAGGAAGAATAATGTGGAGGTTTACAAGAGAAGCTTTGATTTGGTCTATTTGGGAAGAGAGAAATACAAAAATTTTTCAGGAAAAGGAAAGAAGCATACAAGAAATCAAGGAGTTTCTGATGACCAGGGTGATATATTGGCTAAAAACCATGGACTGTTTTCATCAGTTTTCCTTCGATGATTTTTGGAGAAACTGGAGGGAGGTGGCAAACAGCAGTTCTCAGAAGGTTAGAACACATTTAGATTGGACACCACCTCCAGAAGAGTGCTTAAAACTGAATTTCGATGTCAGCAGTCAAGCAAATCCAGGCCGGTCTGGTGTAGGTGGGGTGGTGAGAAACAAGGATGGGAACATCTTGGCACTTTTCTCGAGACCAGTGGGGGAAGGAGATTCTACTAGGGCGGAATTGCTTGCTGCATTACAAGGAATTCAGATTACTCACCAACTTAGCCTAGTTTTTTTTTTTTTTTATAATTAGCTTAGCCTAGTAAGTTTGATAATAGAAGGAGATCCCAAGGTGGTGGTGGATGGCTGCAAAAACTGGGATTCTGTTCCCTGGTATTATAGAGATGAAATCAAGAAATTTAAATGGCATACAAGGGACATGAATGTAAGAGTACACTGGCTCAGAAGATTAGCAAATTCTTTGGTTGATTGTCTTGCCAAACAAGGGACAAACAATGATACTTTATACTGGGCTCAGCTGTAATTTGCTTTTAATCTCTTTCTTTTTGTTCTAGATTTGGGGGAGATCACAACTCGCACCTCTCAAAGGGATGCTAGTACTGATTTAAGCTCTTGATATCAATAAAGTATTAATCATTTACCAAAAAAATAACACTGAAAATAATCATCCAGGTGGACACTGAAGATTCACAAGTCTAAAGAGAATGCTAGAAGGATGTGGGTCAGATTAGTGAGATAACATATGAACAAGATTCAGGTTCCAACCACAAATTGTTTTTTGACGAATAATAATAAGTTTATTGATTCAGAAGCAAATTAGAGTGAATTCATACATCATCCCAACGAGAGGCGCGAGCTGCAGCCCCTCCTTGAAATTTACAAGTAAACTAGGAAAGAAAAACAAGAATCACAACTAAGCCTAAAATAATTCTTCCCTATTTACCCCTTGCTTAGCTAACACATCTGACAAGGTATTTGCTGATCTCCCCACCCATTGTACATTGACCAACATATTCCTTGTCAACCAACTAAATTTCTTCATTTCATTCTTGTATSGCCACATAGCCTCTTCAGAATTTTTCAACCAACCCACCACCACTTTGGAATCCCCCTCGATTATTAGGTGTTGTACCCCCAGCTGGTTTGCAAATTGGGCCCCTTGTACAGCAGCTAAAAGTTCTGTCCTAATGGAATTCCCAATTCCCAAAGGACCTGAGTAGAGCAACAAAATCTCTCCCTTCTCATTTCTCAAAGCACCCCCCA